AGGTTATGCACTTATGCTATCACCACAGCTCGTATAGGGTCCCACTAGGGGCATGTGAAATTTGTCCCGAATGACTACTTATAACATATATGTCCCGAAGAACCACGTAGAACCCTCGACTCTTGGCATGCCAACTATACCCTTAGCTTTCATATCATATAACATGGGAATTATTCTCATACTTCTTATGTTCATGTATTCATGTCATTTCTCTTGTAATCACCTATGTCTTTTCTTCTATCACATATTATATAAATCATATATCATTTATCGAATCATGTAAACACATATGACTTATGCATGCATTGTAAATCAAATAAAATTTTAGGAGTCACTTCTTACCATAGTAACTCCATCACTGACTAATCGTAAGCCAATGTTTGTTCGATAATATAAGTACAAATTAAATTGCACTCACTTATATCCTTGTCTTTCCCTCGATCAATCCCACTTGGCAATTGTTTCTGAACTCGTTTAGGCTCTGTATCTACATAAATATAATTTTCAAGACAATTATCAGAAGCCTAAACCTTATACTTCGATGCTATTAACTTAAACGAATTTAATAGACCCATATTCACTTTTTCCTTTAGTGGGTATCGATGCACTATAGGTGCATCGGTACCCAAAATAGCTTCAAAATTTTCATGCATTGATGTCTGCCTTTGTGTATCGATACACCCCTGAATATATCGATGCACTTTAAAGCTGTTCTTCAAAATTTGGTCTTAGTGCATCGGTACCCATTCATAGTGTACTGATACACCCTGCCCAGAAAAGACTTTTTCACCCGAAAATTCATCAATTTTTCACTAAATTTCCTCATATAAAACTCCTTTCATACCACTAAACTCAACTACAACAATTTTAACTAACGTTTATCATTCCAACACTTTATTATCTCCCATATATCATTCATATTCTTAACACTAAGAATCTTACTAAATTTTCCATATAATCCAAACTTATTTCTAACACTTATAACTTCTTATTCACACCTATGACAAGTCAAATTCCATCTCAAAGCTCCTTTATTAACTCTTTTACAAAAATTCCTTTAAAAACCTCCTCTCTTTAATCTTTCATAATTTCTTCATCTTTTGATTTTAAGACAACTTAAGCTTTCCTTAAGCTTAAGTATTACCTAAGGATCAAAACTCATACTTAAAATTAACAAATAATCAGCTAACAAGTTGCCTTAGGGGTTCACGGTTACACAAAGAAGAAGAAGAAGAATAAGAAGAAAGAACTTTTTGGAGAGATATCTCCTTAATCTTATCCTTATATCCTTATCATATCCCATTTTAATTAATTTCTAAGTCAAATGATCGTTTTGCCCTTCACTTCATTTAATAATTACTAATAATAATTCATAAAATATCTCCAAATAATTCTTGAACTATTCAACTATTTTATTTTAATCACCAAATTCTGATTTTTTTTTACAATTTAGTCACTAACCCGTAGTTTGAGATGTTACAAAATGCATCAACTCGACCAATAAACCATAGAATGCCAAAAATTTAATGAAATTTACTTGCTAAATCAACACACTTTCATGCATCCTTCGTCAATTCAAAGCAAAATTAAAGTTAATAGGAAAACAATTAAATTAATCAACAATCCAAGAGAATAAACAACCAATCGATCGAGCATATCAATATCAAAATTACCCAATTTCAAGCATGCAACAAGTGAGGAAAAATCTAGCATGCTATCATCCCCACTCACTTAAAACGTTTTGTGCCAAAACGTAAATCAAAATTGAAATGTAAAGGAGGGAAAAAGAATACTCCCTGATTCAGTTACGACTTTGTTTTACGTGACAAACTTTTTGTAGAGCAGAATGTCCGATTGAAAAGCCACCAAAAGATATTGAAATTTTTTGCAAAACAAAATTCAAGACAAAGAAAATATTATTCCACAATTTTAATCTAAAGGAAGTAGAATCAAAGAAAAGAAAACAAGAAATCGCATGATGAAGGCTTGAATTGTTTTTCTTTTCTCCTCTCTTTTTTTACTGTTCAAACCAAAATTTCACTATTGTGTTTGTTCGAACCAAAACTATTTTTTCTGCACAGTTCGAATATGTTTTTTTACACAGTTCAAATTTTCTGCACTATTTTCAAATTTGCACTGGATTTTTCTGCAATGTTCAAACTAAATCTATTATGCACTGTTCGAACAGTGAGAATTCTGCTTCCATTTTTTTCCAAAATGATTCTTTGTCTGTTGCCGCATGATCTTTTCATGTCTTGGAATCGTGTTTTTTCAGTTTCTCGCTTCAAGTTCAAGTTCAGGTAAGAACCTACAAAATAAAAAATAAAAATAAAAAATGATGAAAATAAAATTGTCGAAATAAAATTGCAAAACTAAAAACGATTAAAAATATGGGTTACCTCCCATAAAATGTTATTTTTAACGTCGTTAGATCGACGACCTGTTTCAAACTATAAATTTTGTGACAAACACTTCCACTTCATTCATTTTTTCCAACTAATAAATTCTTTATGAGAAATTTAAATATTCTCATAAAGATTTTTTCGAATCTTCCCTGATTTTAAAATCTTGTTGAAAAGAATGATCGCCAATACATCTCATTTACCAAAAAGCTCCCCAAGCCCTCAATCTATACTCCTAGACCGAGACAGCTAAAGCTACAATCAACTTTATACAAGGAATTTAACAAAAAAAAGAAAGGGGCAGGCATTGTGTTTTTAGTAAATAATAAAGTAATTTGGTAAGAAAGAAGCAACTGAGATTGAGATGAGGCTGGGGGTAGCACCGTCTGTTTGAGGGAACGGAATTGCAAGTCGGGGCTCTTCCTGTGGTATTTCTTTTAACAGCGAGGCCCTATCTTTGGCGATCAGATTCCTAAACCTTGGAATCTGCACTTTATGAGTATATTTTAGAGTGATAAAAATAATTAATTTAATCATTATCATATTCTAAAAATATTAAATTTCATATCTTTCCTCTTATTTTTTATATATATATATATATATAATTTGAGAAGATTAAGATAGTGGACTATCTCACATTTATTAATTAATAAAAACCTTAGTACAATAAACTATTCAACAATAGATAATTTATGTAAATTCCACTTCATAAAGATTCCTTGCATTTTTCATTGAAATATCTTTCACTTGTCCCCCTTTCAATTCAAATCAGGCGCTCTCTTTCTTTAATGGAGAGCCAAACAGAGCAATCTTCAAGGACGAAAATGGAGTCTCTGAGAAGGATCTGTGACAGAGTTTTCAATCCAACAACAGAAGATAGATTCGTTTGCGGCCTCCTTTCCTTCTTCTCTTAATTCCATCGAGACCCTAGCATTGGATACTGCCCAAAATCATGGTCAGCAACCTTACTTCCAGTCCTTTAGTTCTAGGGTTCCTACACTCTCTATTGTTCACGCATATACTTGAATCTGTATGAAATTATTGTTCTGATACTGAATTCCGGGATTTTCTTGTTATGCTATGTTATACAGCTATACTCGCAAAAAGGAAAGCCAATTTAAGAGAAGCCGAGGATGAGCTTGTCAAGGTTTCAGCTGGTAATTGCTCCCTTCTATTTTGAACTTTCTTTTTAACTTTTTGGGTTTGGATTTTAGCAATTTGTTATGAAATTGGAAAGAACAAGTTGTGCGAGTTTGTAACTGTTCTTTTACAATGCTGCTCTATAGCCAAGCCCCGTATTGAGGCAAAGCAGATGACAATGAGGGACTCAATACCTGCTATTAAAACTAGAGTGCAAGAATTTAAAAGAACTGTTCAATTTCAAATGACTCGAATGAGATGTCATTTATGTTATTGATGTACCATAGTTTTGCATTTCTTTGACAGTGTAAATTTAATTTTTAGAACTTCCAGTAATGCACATAGTCATTGTTATTTTTTTCCGGTGGTTGTGTGACTAGAGATTTGAGAATATTATTTGGGGTGAGTTCTTATATCATGGATAGTGCAATTCATACATTGTGATATTGATGAAGCAAGTTAACATAAGTTGCTTTGGACATTTTTCCATGCCGATTGTACTGTCCCCATTCCTTGCTGAACTCGCTTGTTTTCCTTTCCTTTTAACAGAAGTTTGTACCTGCGCCTTGCACTGTCTGTATCTAAGAGTACCATTTCTCATGCCATGTAGTGGGTAGTTTGAGTCTTTACTGCCTATGGTTGGTGAGGAATTGTTAAGGTATCAGGAGGTCTGCTTAAGCAGTTATTTTGGATCACCATGCAACTTATATTCTCCAATAAATCTGCTCCAAGCAAGGGAGTCACAGTAAAACTTATTCTTTGCGCCTAATTTGCTGGACTGTATGTATTTTTCCTGTTTTCTGCTATTTACTGAACAATTTTGGGGTTGTCATTTCCTCTTTTTGTTATAGTAATTTCTATGTAAATTTATTAATTATTTTCACAACTTAGTTTCACAAGGATCTCTTCTCAGTTACTGTTTATTCTATGCATCTTTATTTTTCCCTATTTGGTTTTATCCATAGTTTTGACAAAAACTGAAGAGGAGGTAGAACATGAAAGAGAGGGAGATGGAGAATTTCAAGAAGCTATTTCCTGGGTACAATCGGGTTCTTGGTTTTCAGATAGAAGGTGGTCATGGTAAGTGAGATAGGTTGCATGAGAATTTGAGCCTGCATGAGAATTTGAGCCCCCTTTCTTTCCCTTCTATTTCTTATTGGCTCCTTTGTTTATCCAGGGGTGAAATTTACGTTTGACAATATTAACTTAAAAAATCCAAAGCAAGAATATTCATTTGCCATTCGTCATGCAAATGATGCCTAGTCCTGTACGTAATTTCCTTCTCCAGTGTTAGCCACATTCTAAAATGGTATATGTTCTAACATATTTATTTCTTCCCCATGATCTTAAGTATTGGACTGCAACCTACACTTGAATGGCATTAAAGAGTTGATTAATGAGTTGAACAACACAATTGACTTATTCGGCTTTGTTAAAATCATGAGAGAAAAGTTTCACCCCGCATGCTGGATTCTTAAATTTGGCATTCCTCAGTTTGAAGGATATGTCTCCATCTGTTGACACCTTTTTCTGTTATTTGTTTGTAATTTAAAAATCTATTATTTAGATTCTTCCCATGTGGTTCCTCCAACATAAGTTTGGACTCAATTGTTTTTAATGAAGTTCTTCCATCATTTATGACTCATCAGGATTGCAGCTCCAATCCTCAAGTTCTCATGACTGTTCCACAATCTCTATGTCTGATCCAGCTTTATCAGTTTCAACTGATAGAAGTGAATCTTCTGCCAAGAAAAATGAGCACCAAATCCCACTTCGAGATGTAAATAGGCAATTTAAGAAAGTCAACCATGGAAGTAAATCTCCAGCAAAGGTAAACGAAAATCAAATTATTGATGGAGTATTCAATAAACATCACAAGGAAGTCGTCAAATCAGATATCTTATCATCGGTTGTTCATCGCTCCCCTCGGCTTAAGGAACTAGCAAAACCAGATCTTTTATCACTGGTTGCTCGTCAGTCCCCTCGGCTTAAGGTATTATATCCCAACTTGCATGTTTTCTGCTATCTTGGACTGTATACAGAAAGTAGCACACACAGTTGTATATATGTGTGTGTATACTTCGTCCACTTTATGGGTAGAATGTTGGTGTTTTTTCTCTTTGAAGAGTTCAACAGATATCTGGCGATAGTAGCCAAAAAGAAAGGGATGGAGATTGAGCTCTCGAGCCTGGCCTGGCTTGGCTTTTTTCCAGACCTTGCAAATAATCTGCTAGTATACCTACCGGATTTTCATGCTTGGAAGTTTGAAGTCTCACATACTGTTTTCCAGGAACTTTGGTCTTGGCCTCTTGGGAAAATGTTTGCCCCTTAGTTTGCCCCTTAGTTTGCATCCTTCTAAGTTGGAGATGCATATTTATTTGTAGAACGAGCCAAGTTTCTTTTTGTAATACCTCTCATGCTCTCTTAGCTCCTCTAGGAAAGAAGCAAGTTCATGAACTATGAAGATTAGGTTTTTGTACTATATAACCTTAGGATCTCGGGGCAAGGTGTTTTACGAGTGATGAATTTGTATGGCTTATTTATTATGCTATTGGATCAACTACAAGATTCATAGTGAAGATTTTTTTTTTTCTAATTCGAGATATTGGAATCTATGACAGGTCAAGAAATGAAGCTAGAGTGGAGGCTGCTTTGTTGCATCAAATTTCCGATTTTGTGCTGGTTTTAAGGTATGAGCTGATGTTCAACTTTTGACTAGCTTGTGATGCAGTAACATGAAGGGTGTGGAAACTGTCCACATATGTATCATAGAAATTAGTCAGAACCGATTGAAGTGCGTTTTGAAACACATCCCGTATGACATTACTATGTTTGTATCATTACCTCATCATAGAAATGTGGCTACTGAAGCTGACTAGTTGAGCTGATGGTTTAAATGCCCTAGCGTTGTTAGGTTTTGGTACTTCCATTGTACCTTTTTGATGAGTGTATTACCACTTTATCATTCTAAAAACCGGCGTAACTCGATATATCGATCTGGCTTGGCTTGAGCTTTCGAATTTTATTACTAGAGTAAGTTGTGAAAGTGTGTATGTGGGGGTCCAAATACCTTTTGACTGTTCATTTTATGTTTGCTACATTTGCTTTCAAGTTCTTAGGATGCAAGAAATTGGCTGCTGCAGTTTTTACTTTTCCCTCCATTTATAAAAGAATATCATTTTGGACAAATTTAGATATTTTATTTTTGATACAAGTACAGGATGTTCTACTCATTGATCAATAACCTGGATTGAATACCGAAAAATCTTATTATAAGAGTGATTCTTCCAATTTGTTCTTTCTTATTTTTACTTAAAAAGAATAACATCGTCAAATCAAATTATAGCATTACAAAATTAGTATTTTATATACATATTTTCGACAATTGTTCATGGCACTTTATTAAAGCATGCAATTTAATACGCATAAAACGAACCAACACAAAGCAAAGAAATGGTTTCCCTATTCTCAAGGTTTTCCATTTTTTAAAATATAAAAGTGAGAGTTTGCGTATCTCTTGTTGCAGTAACTTGTAAAATTCCAAACAAGTAACGAACGTGAGCTGAGGTTAAATAAATCTTTGCGTTTACAGTAATATCAGTCAAATTATTAAGCCAAGGTACAATCTCAAAATATATACAAAAAAAAGGTAAATAAATTACCCTTGCCAAACGCTTTGTTTATATAATATTTGAATTAAGAAATATTATTAAAATTTATGAGAATAATGTAAGTAAAATATAATATTTGAATTTGAAAGAAAAAAATATACAATGTATCCGATTAACAGGTAAAACAATTGTTTAAGTGGTTGCTTATAATAATTTTAATTAAAAATAAAATAAATTTACGATAAAAACTACTGGTAATCATTTTTCACAAAAGCCAAAATAAACCTTCCAGTTGTTTTAATAATTATTATTTACCTTTACTATATATTTTTAGGTGTCCCGATTTCCACTATATAAAGTGGCTTTCACTCTCAGACTCTCTCTTACATGTTCACGAAGCGACTCTTTTTCTCTGCATAGTAGTGACTGGTGACTGGTGATTGGAGGACTGGTATTCGTACGTCTTTTCCTATCTCTGTTTGTTTCTTTGTTTGTTTTATATTTAAAAATGGTTTCTATAATGTATTTTTTTAACATTATCAGTCGATAAGCGGTTTTCCGGCGGCGGTTTCAGTCGAAACTCCTACGCCCTTCAGTATTTCTTCTTTCTCGTCGATGGATCTACTTTCATTGGCTTGGTTTCTGTCGATTTTTCTCTAATTATCTACTGATCATACTTCAACCGTCTGTATTTTGTCTACAATTACTTAGATCTCCGTTTTCTTCTTTGTCTCGTCTAGGGTTTGACGAGATCTTACGGTTTCTTATGTTATTTTTGCATGTTTATATAGTGTTTCTGTTTTTTGTTTTTTAGTTTCACTGTAATTAGTTATATGTATGTGTATTTTTCCCTCGTTGGAATTATAGTGACACGATGTCTGTTTTAGTTGTATTTTTTTGGTTGAAAAAGGGGCTTTAGGTTTTCATTGAGGATCAAAACCCTTTACTTTTGTAAACACGCTGTTGTAGCATTTGCTCTCGCCTCTCTCTTCGTCATCTGCTTTTATATGTGAATGTCATTGTTCTCTTTTATCTTCTGTTACAGTTTTATCATCATGGTTAGGAAGAAGAGAACTGATACTCCCTCTGGCGGAGGTGAGGGATCTCAGTCCCATGACACTGGTGGTGGCAGTGGTCATGGTCCCCAACTTCCTCAACAACAAGGACAAGGTGGGCGTGGAGGTTATACGGGGGGAAGAGGTTGGGTTCCACAGTCCCAACAAGGTGGTCGTGGGGGAGGTGAGAGCTCTCAGTCCCATGACACTGGCGGTGGCAGTGGTCGTGGTCCCCAACGTCCTCAACAAGGACAAGGTGGAGGCTACCCGGGGGGAAGAGGTTGGGCCTCACAGTCCCAACAAGGAGGTCGTGGGAGAGGCTATGGAATTGGTGGTCGAGGTCTTGGAATGTCACAAACTCCTGAATACCAACAAGGTAGAGGAAGGGGTGAGTATGCTGGAGGACCTACTGATCCCCATCAAGCTAGAGGAAGGGGATATCGTGGAGGATATAGTGGTGGTCGAGGCAGTGGTGCACGTGGTGGAGGACCTTACCCTGGTGGACTATCACACCCATCTGTTCCCGAGCTGCACCAAGCAACCCAACCTTCTCAAGTTGAGGTGATCACCCGGTCTGCTCCATCTGAGTCAGGTTCTTCATCTAGGCCACCTGAGCAGGCACCATTGGCAGAGCATCTTCAGCAGCTTTCCATCCAGCAAGAAGCCAGCCAAGCAATTCAACCAGTTGCTCCATCAAGCAAGTCAATGAGATTTCCTCTTAGACCTGGACAAGGTTCCACTGGCATAAGGTGTATAGTCAAGGCTAATCATTTCTTTGCTGAATTGCCTGATAAAGACTTGCACCAATATGATGTGAGTTTTTTTATCATCAGTGTTTTTGTGTCTTGTTTGTTATTTCTTTTATCTGCAGATTCTTGATTGCCATTGTCAATGGAACTAGGTTACCATCTCACCGGAGGTAGCATCACGAGGAGTGAACCGTGCTGTCATGGCGCAGCTAGTGAAATTATACCAAGAATCTCATCTTGGAAAGCGCCTTCCTGCTTATGATGGCCGGAAGAGTCTATACACTGCTGGGCCTCTCCCTTTTGTGTCCAAGGAGTTCAAGATTACCCTTATTGATGATGATGATGGCTCTGGAATGCAAAGGTTGTTGCCTACTGTCTTATTCCCGACATTAATATGTTATGGTGATACTTTTCTTTGAAGGGGAGGAGTTATATCCTTATCATCTTGGTCATAGGTTAGAAACTTGAAAAAGATAGTTCTGGTTTGGAATTGCCAAGGTTGCATTTCGTTTCATAAAACATTTTCCATTGCATTTTCATTTTAAGAATGAAAACATGTTTGGTGATTGAAATTGAAAGCGTGGTCCAGGAAATGAAAATGATTTTTTTTTCAAATACGAAAGAAAAGAAATGTTTTCAAATGAGAAGGTTCACCAAACATATTTTCTAGAAAAAGAAATCAATAATGCTTTTCAGAAGATGAGAACGTAAAATCTGGTTCTTAGATGCACGGCTAGCAAATAGTTTTGATCTTCCTGTCATTTTGATTGGTTCAGGGGAATATAGAACGAAAATGTTTGAACGGGATTGGACATTGCTTTTTTCACCTCTATATTCTGTAACTTTTTTTATTCTTGATTCTTGATGCAGAAGAGAGCGTGATTTTAAAGTAGTTATCAAATTTGCTGCACATGCTGATCTACACCATCTTGGCCTCTTTCTGCAAGGGAAGCAAGCTGATGCACCTCAGGAAGCCCTTCAGGTTCTTGACATTGTTCTTCGTGAACTACCCACTACTAGGTAATACTTTTAGGTTATTTTTTGGATAGATGTTTACCGCACTGCTTCTACCTTAAAATTTTGATTTGAATGTAATGTTTAATAATAATTACAGGTACTGTCCCGTTGCCCGTTCATTTTACTCTCCTGACCTAGGGACAAAACAACATTTGGGTGAGGGATTAGAAAGTTGGCGTGGTTTTTACCAAAGCATTCGCCCTACACAGATGGGACTGTCGCTGAATATTGGTACTATTTTCCTTTGGTCTATTTCTCTTGTCTAGGTGGTTTATGAATGTAACATTGTACATGCATTTTATCTGTCCCCTAATATAACACCCTCTTATGTTGACAATTATCTTCTGGACAGATATGTCTTCAACTGCTTTCATTGAGCCATTGCCTGTTATTGATTTTGTAGCACAATTGCTAAATCGTGATATTTCTAGACCACTATATGATTCTGATCGTGTGAAGGTTAGATTTTTTCAACTTTTCTTATTGGAAATATAATTACCGTATACTTTTTCTTTGTTTATCGTATCTTGTTGGTTAACATGCCGATTTTCTGACAACTATTATTTTGTAGTATTTTACTTTTGTCATCTTTTTTGTTTTTTATTTCTTTTTGGTAAACCATCATTCCATGTTCATCGTATTTTTTGTATAAATAGATAAAAAAGGCTCTTAGAGGAGTCAAAGTAGAAGTTACACACCGGGGCAACATGCGGAGAAAATATCGTATATCTGGTTTAACATCACAAGCAACTAGAGAGCTGACGTGAGTATACTATTATACTATGATATACTATTCTTTTCAAAATCTTTATTGTGATAGATTCTCTGGTCACTTGTGATATGGTTTGATTCCTGATTATCTAACAAGTGGTATTGTTTATAGTTTTCCTGTAGATGAAAGAGGTACAATGAAATCTGTCATGGAGTACTTTCGTGAAACTTATGGTTTTGTCATTCAACATACCCAATGGCCATGTCTACAAGTCGGGAACCAACAGAGACCAAATTATTTGCCAATGGAGGTAAATCATGCACCACATTCCTTTAGATTGCACATGTAATTGATGTATGGATATGCATGCTAATGACTTGTCACTCACATAGGTATGCAAAATTGTAGCGGGTCAGAGGTACTCCAAGAGATTGAATGAGAGACAGATTACTGCTTTGCTGAAGGTCACCTGCCAGCGTCCTCGTGATAGGGAATATGATATTATGAAGGTATCACATTTATGCCTTCACCTTTTGTGTTTCCGAATTCTTTTGCATTGTCTCCCAAGTCTCACTGGTTTTTAGTTTTGCCTTTGATGGATTGATTTCACATATTAGTCTTATCAACTTTTATCTGTGGGTTGCATGTGAACAAATTACTTAACACTTGCATCAATGCTATGTAAGATGTTTCTCT